CAAAGTAAATGTATTGAAGGTGAAGGAAATATCATCACTTGAAAGTTTGATCAATAAGCAACTAGAAAGAGTTTAGCTTGTATGATTATGATTGATGAGTTATTTTTTAAGTTTGTAGAAAATGAAGGTTTTAGAGCCTTTAGCCTGTTGCATGTCCTAGATTTCATGTTTCTTCATGATTTACAATTACAAATGATCATCTTTATTTAGATGAAAAATAGAAAATGAAACAATTTTTGAGACATTCATGTCAAAAAATATGTATAACCATAAACATATGGACATATTTGTAAAAAATGAATTATTTGTGTTTTACGGCTCATCTTATTGATAATGACTAAAAATTAAACAAAAAAAATCTTAAACTTTTATCCAATTTCAAGTCATAAAAGTGAAGCCATTGGTAAGATGATTGCGAAATGCTTACTTGTTTAAGGGATTGATAAATTGTTCACTATCACAGTGGATAATGCAAGTGCAAATGATGTTCTTGGGTACTTGAGAAAAAAATTTTGAAAATTGAAAGGGTTGTATTTTAAATGGATAATACATTCATATGAGATGCATTGCACATATTATGAATTTAATTATAACTAAAGGCTTCAAAGAAATGAATAAATTAATTGATCGTGTTAGAGGGCAGTGAGATATGTGAGACAATCTCTTTCTAGATTACAAAAATTTTAAAAATGTGTTGAGATTAAACATATAGAGAGCAAAAGTTTTTTACATCTTGATATTGTACTAGGTAAAACTCCACCTAGTTAATGTTGGATAGTGCTCAAAAATTTGAAAGAACTTTTGAAAATTTTGAAGAGTTCGATAGCAACTGTAGAATTAAACTTGAATCAGGGGAATGTTTGCTTATAGAGGATGATTGGATAATTGTTAAAAATTTAGGACAGTTTTTAAAACACTTCTATGAACTCACATTGTAGGTTTCAAGTACTTTGTGTATCACATCCAACATTTTGTTTGATGAACTTATTGAAATAAAATATTTTTTACAAGATGCTCAAATTAGTAATGATGTTAAGGTTAGTGTGATAGCTATGAGAATGAAAGATAAATATGATAGGTATTAGAGAAACATTGAGAAGATAAATATGCTTATTTTTGTTATGGTTGTTCTTGATACTAGGCACAAATTAAATTATATGGAATTTTCACTTAAAAGTATGTATGATTGTGAAGTTACTTATAAATTATATTGTGTATATCATCCTTCACTTTCAAGTGGTAGTGCCTAATCAAATATGATGAATGATGTAGAAAAATCATAATATAGATTAAAAAAATGTATAAAGTCTTTATATAAGATGCATATGATTGAATCTGATTTTAGGAACCAAAAGTCAGAGACGGATAGGTATCTAAATGAGGCTACCGAGATTGATAGTGAAGATTTTGATATTTTAAGATGGTGGAAAGTCAACAGCACTAGATTTTCTATCATTTCATAGTTGGTCAGAGATGTGTTAGCTATTCCTTTTTTATTGTTACTTTTGAGTGGCATTCAGTATTTGAAGATGCATTCTTAATTCATTTAAGAGTTCTTTAACTCCTAAAGTGGTGTGAATCCTTGTGTGTACTCAAGATTGGATTTGAAAATCATCAAACTAGCTTGACATAGTGAAAGAACTACAAGAACTTGACAAAATTGAAAATGATATAAACATTTTTTCCTTTTGTTTATCTTCCTATCACTTTATGTATTAAAAATAGCTTACGAATGTTAATATTAATTTGTACTTTTTGATGTTTAGATATATTTTTGGATATAGTAGAATCAAACCTAATCTTTGAGTTATGAGCTTATGGATGGAACAGTGGATGATGATTGATTATTTTTTTAGTTTGGAACTTTGGATTTTGTTTCTAGTTTAAGTTTAATAACTTTAATGTTTTAGAGTTTGAAACTCTGGATGATGTTTTAAGTTATTTTGCTTAACTTTGGATGATGTTTGTGTTAAGAATATTATTAACAATGATTTATTGTGTTATATCTATTTGTGTTAAGAACTTTAAATGATGTTTTAAGAATATTACATTATGTGTTTGCAAGGATTTAATGTTACCTTGTTTTAAGAATATTGCATTATGTGTTTTTAAGGATTTAACATTGTTTTGTGTTAACCTTAGCAATTGTATTTTATTTATGTTTTCAACATTTTTTTTTGTGAGTGTCTAGAACCAAAAACAATCAAAAAAAAAAATTGGTTAATCAAAATTTTACTCGAATCGATCGTAATTAATTATGTTGGTTAATTTTTTAAAATAAAAATTTCGATTCGATTAAAAAAATAAAATAAAATATTTCAGTTAATTCAGTGTTGGGTAATTCGGTTCAAAATTAACCAAATTAACTATATAAACACCCATATTTATGAATCATAAGAAACATTTTCAAATACACTTGTAACCATACTCTTAATTCATTTAACAATTCTTGTAATCAACATAAATTAAAACCTAAGATAGAAAGATTTAAAATAATAAGCACTTACTTTTTCTCTATAAATTGATGTAGCAAACTGTTATTGAAAGCATCAATAATCATTGCTAAGGCCTTCTCTCGTGTAGGACCCCTTCATCAATAGAAGAGAAAAACACTAATTCAGTCACATTTAACTTTAAAGTTTAATTATTCTCAAAATTTTGCAAATCTAAAAAGCTTAGCAAATTAACTAATTTCAACTAACCTAAATGTTATTACCTTCATAGCAAACAATGTAACAATTCAAATGCATCACATTTTCATCCAAAAAGTTACTAAATAAGCAAGCAAATAGCTAATTCTAACCTTTTTTCAAATAAAATATCAACAGCTTCGTCAAGTAAACTATCTTTATTAAACTCAATTTCTTCAATACTAGAAAACACCAATAAAGATAATAAAAATTTTTATAGGTAGAGTTGCTATGATAATATGATCAAAATCTAATAATTAGTTCCTCTCTATTTAAAATTATTTGAAAGGTATCCAAAGTAAAAACAGAGTTTAAAAAAAAAATACACTAAACAATCTGCCTATCTTTTAATCAAACTCATATTAAAAGTATTTTTAAGATAATTACATATAACTTATTTTAACAACAATATGAGGAATACATATGTCAATAGAAATACATTAAGAAAGAAAAAAAAGTCAACACTTAAACAAATACATTTGTCAACAAAAACATCTTTAAAAAAATCCAATTGTAATGACCATAATTCTTAATAGATAAAGCTATTTATACAACTTAACAAAAAAAATCACTACATACAACTTATCAAACCCAAATGTATAAAAAATAAAGCAAAACAACACATAAAAACAATTCATACTAACCTGAAAATTAAATATCCAAAAAACTTCAATAAACCTTAAGAAAAAAAAAAAGAAAAAATCAATTGAAAGTGAAATCATAACTTCATTCAAATAATATGCAAAACAAAATCTAAATATGAAAATAAAAAAAAAATTACAACATCAATAAAATGAGCATCGTCAAAGAAAATAACAATAAAAAATTGATTTTTATCCAACATCAAAACATGCAAAGATAAAATCTTCTTAAAAAAACATAATCACAACAACATGTAAACCTTCCAACCATAAAACCCAAACCCTATTCAACAATCAAACTCCATTAAACAAAACTAAATCTGTAACACTAAATTATCACAACAAAACTAAAAAAAAAAAAAAACACAAATTCAATCAAACAATAAAAGGAAACAAAAAATTGTATTAAAAATAACTGAATAAAAAACAAAGAAATAATGAAACAAAAATGAAAGAAAAAACTCACACAGCAAAGAAGCTTGTCTTTATTGCCACGATACCTCTATTTCAACTAGAAATAAAAACAGAAGAAAGAAATTTTGAAAATAGAAAGAAACTACACCTATAAAACACAAGCACAAAAAAAAAAAAACTTGTTAAAGAAAGTTCTTTATCTTCCTATTGGTCAAACATAAAACATTGAAAAAAAATAAAAAAATAAAAGAGACCTTGCTTCCAATCAAAATACAACTACTATAAAAGAAAAATAAAATGCACATGTTAAACCTAGATCCTTTAAATGATACTTTTTGTATAAGGTTATATTGATTAAGAAGATAATTACATCTCACACCCCAAACCCAAACCAATAGTGATTGACATTTGACAATAATGGTGGTGGGCATGCAGTTACAATAGTAGAGGTTATGGTGTGAAAAAAAGGGTTGGGTTCTTAGGGATGTAAACGAATAAAGTTTTTAACGAATTATTCGTGAATATGTTTGATTTTTGTTTGTTTATATTCGTTTATTAAGTTTAACAAATGATCTTAAATAATATTTTTATGTTTATTTATTAAACGAACTGAACACAAACAAAGATTTGTTTGGTTCATTTATGTTCGTGAATAAGCTTGTTTAAAATTTATTTAAAACTCATTCATTTATTATTTATTTACTGTTCATTTGCTGTTCGTTTATAATAGTACTAATAAAATTACATTTTCTTTTTTACCCTAATTTTATTTAAGGTTCATTTATTTTTTTTAGATTTGTTTATATTCGTTTAAAGTTTATTTATTTAAATTTGTTTAGTTATGATTTTTTTATTATTCATGAATATATTCCTTTATATATGTTTATAAATATATTCGTTTAATATTTACGAACGAACTCATTTAATTTAATTAAATTAACATAAACCGAATATTAATAACTTATTATTTAAACTAATGAACATAATCGAATAAAATAAATTTTTAATAAATATGAATCAAATACGAATGTATTTAAAAATAAATAAAAAAAACATAAATATATATTTATTTGTTCACGTTAAATTCGTATACAGCCTTACAGACTCTTAAATCACTACAAAGTCATAGGTTTCTTTTATTCGTTACACTCATTCGTTCAGAGGGTAAAAAAAGTAAATAAAAAAAGACACCAATTTTTTCGCTTGTCATTTTCTTTTCAACAAATATTTATGATGATGTGGGAACCAGTTAATATTCTCAGTCGCTCATCCCAAGTTGTAATTCCCAAAAGAAAACTCAATCCTCGCTGCCAACCAAAGTGGAAAAAACAGACCCTTCTTCCTCTCTGTATAAACATAAAAATGGGTGACCCAATTAGAATGAGTCAATGTCTCCTCCCTCCCTTTGCTGTTCCATACTACCCTTTTTCCTATCCACTGTCCACACCAACAAACCAAATAAAGCTAATAACCATCTCCCAAAACCTCAATCCAAAGAAAAAGAACAACATGAGCCTCTCTTTGTTCTTCGTCTTTTCCCTCTTAACTTTTTTCTATACTGCTTCATCTTCCACTATCTCCTTAGGCTCCTCCATCTCCCCTTTATCCACAAGCCAATCATGGCCCTCTTCCAATTCCAATTCCACTTTCACCCTTTCCTTCATTTCCTCAGCTTCCTCCAACTCTTTCCTTGCTGCCATCACTTATGCAGGTGGAGTTCCTATTTGGACAGCTGGCGCCGGCGCCACCGTTGACTCTGGTGGTTCCTTTCGTTTACTCTCAAACGGAGCCCTCCGTCTTACGAACGGCTCAGGCTCCGTCGTCTGGGACTCTGGCACGGCCAACCGGGGTGTTTCCTCTGCTTCCTTGGAAGACTCAGGGGAGCTTCGGCTACTGGGCAATGACAGTGCTAAAGTTTGGTCTTCGTTTGATCACCCAACGGATACGATCGTTCCGGGGCAGAATTTCACCGTCGGCGGGGTTCTAAAATCTGGACTTTATTCCTTTTCTCTTCAAAGGTCAGGAAATTTAACTTTGAGATGGAATGATAGTATTGTTTATTGGAACCGAGGGTTGAATTCTTCTTTTAATGGTAATTTAACTTCACCTACTTTAGGGTTGCAGTCTATTGGGATTTTGTCTATCTTTGATCCTAGTTTGAGTAGTGGGGTGGTAATTATGGCATACAGTAGTGATTATGCTGAAGGAAGTGATATTTTGAGGTTTTTAAGGTTAGATGATGATGGGAATTTAAGGATTTATAGTTCTGCTAGAAGTAGTGGGACTACAACTACGAGATGGTCAGCTGTATTGGATCAATGTGATGTTTTTGGTTACTGTGGGAATATGGGAATTTGTAGTTATAATGATTCCAATCCGATTTGTGGTTGTCCGTCCGAGAATTTTGAGCTGGTTGATGTGAATGATAGAAGGCAAGGGTGTAAGAGGAAAGTGGAGATTGAGAATTGTCCAGGGAGTGCTGCCATGTTGCAATTGGATCATGCCGAGTTTTTGACTTATCAACCTGAGTTGTCTTCTCAGGTTTTCTTTGTTGGGATATCGGCTTGTAGATTGAATTGTCTTATAAGTCCTTCTTGTGTTGCCTCCACTTCTTTGTCGGATGGAACAGGACTTTGTTACTTGAAAACTACCGAGTTTGTTAGTGGGTATCAAAGTCCAGCGCTTCCTAGCACTTCTTATGTTAAGGTTTGTGGACCAGCATTACCAAACCCATCTCCCTTTGCAGATAATGCAAGGAATAGTAAAGGTTGGAGGTTGCATGCGTGGATTGTAGTGGTTGTTATTGCGGCTACCCTGTTGGTTTTGATTGTATTGGAAGGCAGTTTGTGGTGGTGGTGTTGTAGAAACAGTCCCAAATTTGCGGGTCTATCAGCTCAATATGCTCTTCTTGAGTATGCATCTGGTGCTCCTGTTCAATTCTCATATAAGGAGCTTCAGCGTTCAACCAAGGGGTTCAAGGACAAGCTTGGAGCAGGAGGGTTCGGGGCTGTATATAAAGGAATTCTTGCTAACAGAACGGTTGTGGCAGTTAAGCAACTAGAAGGTATTGAGCAGGGTGAAAAACAGTTTAGAATGGAGGTTGCTACCATTAGTAGTACCCACCATTTGAACTTGGTGAGATTGATAGGTTTTTGCTCTGAGGCTCGTCACAGGCTTTTGGTGTATGAGTTCATGAAAAATGGATCTCTAGATAACTTCCTTTTTGCCACAGAAGAGCACTCAGGAAAGACGTTGAGCTGGGAATATCGTTTTAATGTTGCTCTCGGAACTGCTAGGGGAATTACATACCTTCATGAGGAGTGTCGGGACTGCATTGTTCATTGTGATATAAAGCCTGAGAACATTCTTCTGGATGAAAATTACAATGCCAAAGTGTCAGATTTTGGCCTTGCAAAACTCATAAACCCCAAAGACCATAGGTACCGAACGTTGACAAGTGTTAGGGGTACAAGGGGTTATTTGGCACCTGAATGGCTTGCAAACCTTCCAATAACTTCTAAATCTGATGTTTATAGTTATGGGATGGTTTTGTTGGAGATAGTGAGTGGAAGAAGGAATTTTGAAGTTTCAGCTGACACAAATAGGAAAAAGTTTTCTATATGGGCTTATGAGGAGTTTGAGAGGGGTAATGTGAAGGGAATTGTTGATGAAAGGCTTGTTGATCAGGATGTGGACATGGAGCAAGTAACTAGGGCAATTCAGGTTAGTTTCTGGTGCATCCAGGAACAGCCTTCTCAGCGGCCAATGATGGGAAAAGTGGTTCAGATGTTGGAAGGAATCACAGAGATTGAAAGACCGCCGGCACCAAAAGCTACCACTGAAGGTTCTATTAGTGGAACCAGCATAAATGTTAGCAGTAACATGAGCGCTTTCTCTACTTTTGCTGCTTCTGCGCCGGCTCCCTCATCATCTTCGTCATTGCAAACAGCTGGGGTTTCTCCTTTAGCTTCAGGAAGGAATATAGAAAAGCAGTCATCATCCTTACTACATTCTGACACGAAATAAAACTCATTTCAGTTTGTAAAGCTCCATACTGAAATAACTTTGGCTTGTGATCTCTTGATCCAGATTTTATGCAAACTATGGGGTAAACCTTCATTGTGTATAAATTATGAGAGGTGATATTGATAGTATATCTTGTAAAAATTTGTTTACAGTTGTAACCATAGCTTATAATTCAGTAAGGAGTGGTTATTGCTGTCATAGAGTCATTGATTCTACATGTATGGTTTTAGTTCATTCAAAAACATGTCAACAATAATGTTTGTAAGTGATGTTTGCTATACCTTCTTTTCTGTTACTCATTATTATTGTATGAAATACAATGTACAAGTGGTTAGCTTAAAAGCTTCATGTGGTGCAAGAATGGTTATTAAAACATAGACTATAATGATCCTTCAAAATAAGTATTTTAGTGTGAGTTTTCTTTCAGTTCATTTTGGCAGGCGAGCCTTGACCGTCAATACCATGAAACTATGACTACTTACAAGAGTGAACAGTCCCAAAATTTTGCCTAGGACATCATCTCTAATTGCATGCTGAGATGGGCAAAAAGTTGTACTATTGTATAATGCATGCTCACATATAAGGAATTTGAAGATTGAACCCCTTTAAGCTCTAATTGGAGTCATTTTTCTGGGAAGGTAGGTCTTGCAACATAAACAAAGAGGGAAGGAGTCATTGTTTGTGTCAGAGAATTATGAACTACGACGGCATCACTAATTGATAATTTCTGACAAGGTTGCAACAGATGCAATACACTTGCCATTGTTTTAACAGTTGCTTTACCATGGCAAGAAAGTCAAAGTTGTGTCTGCTTTCCGGCCTTGCTTGCGGCAATAATCTCAAATATTTAGCCTTTGCTTTCCCTTTCAGGTTTGGAATGTGATTTTCGTTGTTATTATTATTATTTTAATGGATGGAACAAGCCATGTCCTTTTCTTCATCATCTTGGACTGTTTCAAAGTTGGAGCGAACAATGTGAATCTGGGTAGTGGATCGAAAGGAAATTTTACATACAGTAGAGGGCAATAAGCTGAGCTCCCATTATCCGTAGCCCTCGATTGTGGACTCTCGGATTGTTTGCCTTGAAAAGAAGAGGTTGGCTGACGCCAGCAGTGTGAAAGTGAAAGCAATTCCAATCAAATAAACCTTTCTCAAAACAAATTTTGACTGGCAGCAGGAACTGAAAATCGAAGACATTCCAGTCAAATAAACCTCTTTTCAAACCCAAAGTTTGAAGAAGAAATTCACAGATGTCAGCTTAAGCCTTAAGGATAGGAAAAACAAAGTAATCCAAACCGGTTAAAATCCCATTAATATTTTTAATGAGATGTGGAAGAAAAGTAAATTTTCCAACTTTGAATTTCTATTCTAAAAGAAAGTGACAATTCTTTGGTCAAGTTCAAGCTGTTAGGTAATTCTCAAGTCTCATTAACTAATAAGGAAATTAAACAATTAAAAATTTTCGTAAAAAAAAATTAAAAATATGTCAATTTTAAATAATATATAATAATATAATACAGAAATTATAAAAAAAAATAATACAGAAATTATAATACAGAAATTTAAAATTTTTATATTTGATATAAAAATTTGTATTTTGGACGAAATACATGACATGAAAATATACAAATTATCCATCTAATTAAAAACTGACATAACACTCACTGTTGTTTAGAAGAGATAAAGTTTAAAAATTCAATCTCCTCTCCCCTTAGATTTCTAAAAAAGGATCAAAAGTTTTCAAGTAATTTCATGTCTCCCTAGCTCCAAATAAAATTGAATTACTAGTACATAATTTTGAAGCAGAATAAAACAAATACTACCTTTAAATTGATTCAAGGCCTGGCCCTGGATAGTCCCGAATAGGTTCAACTGCCCAACCCATATTTCTATAATATAACCCCAACCTGAAAACCAACTTGAAAAAATTCGAATCCCAACATTTCAAATCCAAATTAATCAAAATGTTAAAGATTCAATTTTTTTTTAAACAAAAACATAATCTCAGATAATATGAATGCGAAATGATCTGCACCTAAAAATATCAAAATCCGATCAAAATTTGTCCTGTTAAGTCTCAATTTTACACACAAAAAATATAATTTATAGTATTCAATCTAATTCAATTAATAAAAAAAAAATTGCCTCAATAGTGGAAAGGAATGCTTATTTCATCTGAAACTTGAGATTTTTTTTATTGATTCAACCAAGAATCAAAGGAAGAATAAAGACTTAGATAAAGTGAATGAGAGAATAAAGATATAAAAGGAATTGTAAAATTGGGATATGAAAAGTAGAAATGAGTGGGTTCAGTTTAAATTTTGAGTGTTATTAGTAATGTGGTATGGAGAGTAAAATTTAGAGTGCAAATAGAAATAATTCTCTTTAGAGATCTAAATGTACAAGGAAAATTACCAAAGTAGCCTACGTTGTGATAAAAGATTTGTAGGACTATTTTTATCTCTTTTAAAATTATAAAAAAATATTTTTTTTTGAAAATTATAAAACTATATATAAAACTACCAGTAATTGTAAATATTATAATAAATAAAATAAATAATTGCAAAATTATAAAATCACATGTAACTAACAATTAAAAATAGCTAAAATTATAGAATCATGGGCAGCAAATGATATAAAAATAAAAAATTTTAATTCCTTAATACCTTAAAATTTCTCTATCCTATCACAAAAAAAAAAAAGAAGAAAAAAATCTAATACTCCATGTATAACACAAATAGTCAACAAGTTAAACATGATCTCAATATATTACATATTAAACTTAAATATTTCATTTTTTTAATCTTGATATTCTCATAATATTTCATATCCATGAAAATTTATTTTATTACTTTAATGTGAAAAAAATAATTATTAAATAATAATTCATCATTAATGAGATTTTTTTTTTTTGGTTTGGAAGATAGAAGAATAAGATGTTTTTAATATTGTTTTGAAGTTAACAACTCTTCTTTTATTTTTCTATCATCTCAAGTTTAAATATTTTAGCACCTTTGAATTTTAATATCAGACCTTCATAATAATATCTTCCTCTCATAAATTAAAAAAAAAAAAAAGAACTCAAGCTGAGAAATGACTATTAAAAGTAGGAAATACTAAGAAGTAATTTGGATTAATTAAAATGACTCAATTAAAGATAAATAAAAAATATCTCTCAAGTTATTTTTTCAACAAAATTTGCCATCCAATGTGTCGAACGATCGTGAATGAGATTTTGATTAGATGGTTTATGTAGGTAACTTCTAGCAAGTGAGAGCATATTACTTATAATTTTTTTGTTATAATATTATAATTTTTTAATTAAAATAAAATTTTATATAAAAATTTAACACGTATAAATATAAATTTTATGTAAAAATCTTGATGAATTTTATATAATTTTAAATTATAATTGATTAATTATATTGTAATTATTATCGATGATACTATCTCTAATAATTTTAAATTTTAATATATAATTTTTTTAATTTTAAACTGCAGTACTTTTTATATAAAATAACATGTAATTGTAATTTATCTTATAATATTAACTTTATTAAAAAAAAATAGCGAACCACTTTATATAAATTTTTTTGGATTGAAAAGTTTAATCGATTAATAACATAAGATAATTTATCTTGTACTATCTTTTTTATGAAACGTATACTGTCAATAGTACCCTCTATGAAATAAAACAAGCCGTCTCGTCACAGCTTTCAAAAAAAAAAAAAAAAAATTCACCCATCCAAGATGCATGCAAAATCCGTGAAAATGATTTGGGTTTTCTCGTCCTCAAAGATACTATTACTCTACAATTGAATTTTAGTAATGTACTATCTACGGGACCGTTTCCTTAAAACTGTCACATGTTATTTTTGCTTTTGTTTTTTTTAAGTATTTAAAAATATATAATAAATCTTTTTTAAAATTATTAAAAATATATAGATTTTTTTAAAGATTTGATCTTTAATGTATGTCTTTCACTTGTACAAAGTTTTTTTGTCTTTTCCTTTTTAACCTTTTAAAGGTTTTTTTAAAAATTATTTAATAAATATTTTTAAAATTATAAAAAATATATATTTTAAATATTTTATTTTTTATACGTGAGATTTACTTATACTAAACGTTATTTTTTTTTCCTTTCTAACCTTTTTTAATTTTTTTTTTCAAAAAGATATTTAATGATATTTTTAAAATTATTAAAATATTTTAAAAATATTTTATTTTTTATGTGTGGGACTCAATTATACAATTTTTTTACTTTACTTTTTTACCTTTTTAAAAAATATATTTAATAAAAAAAATTTTAGATTTTATTTTTTTATTTCTATTTGATATCAATAATATGTCACATGTTTTCTTTTTTTTTTGCTTTTTATATGTTTAATAAATAATTTTTTATATTTTATTTTTAGACCCGTTTAATATCGAAAGTATATCACATTTTAAGCCATTTGAAACCTTTTTTTCCTTTTCTTCTTTTTTTGTTATTTAATTTTTTTCTTTTTTTAAAAATATTTAATATTTTTTAAAAATATTTTAAATTTTCTTTAATATGAGCCCATTTGATATGATTATTTAAAATATATATTTTTTTTATTTTATTATTTTTTAATTTGATAATCTTTTAAAAAAAATATTATCGGAGGTATCGATGTCACATCTAGATTTATTTTTTTCTTTTTTTGATCCTTTCTTTTTTTAATTTTTTAAAAAATCCATGACATAAAAGTTTCAAGAAAAATTTATCATTACAAATGTCACGTGGTAACTCAATTTTCTTCCATTTTTATTTTTTTGGTATTTGTCTTATCTTTTTTTTCTTTTTTTGTTTTATTTCATCCCTTTTAAAATAAGATCATTTTTTGAAAAAAAAAAAGATGTGGCATCGTATTTATTTGTTATTATTTTTAATTTTTGAAAATTTTAATTAATTAAATTATTATTTAACATTTTAATATAAAAATTAATTTTTTAAACTTAATTGGGATGTTCACATAGTACTTTAATAAACTCCCTTCTTTTTTTTTTGTTTTTTTGTTTTCTTTTTTTTATATTAACTTAATTTTGTTATAAAAAAATTAAGAAAATGGAGATGTCTACGTAATACTCCATTTATCTTTTTTTTTTTCTTTTTTACTTTGTTTTGCACTTTTAATTAAATAAATTTTGTAATAAATTGTGCCGATTGATAAAGATGCTAGAAAAATACATATATGAAGTGTTTTAATCCATCTTAATTTGATAGGGATGATTTTTCTAAAATCGAGATTGAGTTGGGACATGTCAAATTTTTTATAAGATACAATATTGCAGCGAAAGTGTATTTAAGGTGCTTTGTTTGAAGTCATTTTGGGGTATATAAAAGTATATATCCTATTATTAATTTAATTTTATATTTTTGTATGTATTATATTAATAAAAAATTTTATTAAATACTTTAATCAAATAAATTAATATTTTAAACTCAATAGGATACCCAGGTGGCACATTCTATGAACTTTTTTTCATTTTTTACTTTTTACAATTTCTTTTATTTTAGATTTTTATTTTTAATTATATATATATATATATTGTGATAATAAGAGTCAATCTAGATTTTCACGTGTCACTCCTATTTAAGGTTTTTTTTTTTGTTTTACTTTTCATCTTTTTTTTTAATTAGATAAATTTTTAAAAATAAATAGTGAATAGAGATGGTAAACAAAGATAGGTTTTGATTTATCTCAATTCAATATAGGCAATTTTGTAAAAATCAATATTGAATCAAGTTAGGTCTATTTTTTTTATAATAAAGCAAATTTAGGGTGCTTTGCCCTAAGTCACTTCATTGTATTTACAAAAGTATATATATTTAATTATCTATTTAATTTTA